AATTAACCTTGGGGCTATAAACTGATTATGAGCCCTACAATGCCACAGGGGTAATATTCTTTATATTTTATTATTAAATTAGGTGCAATTCCATTAATACTCGATTTATCTTTTAAAAGGCAGACCTTGTTTACCCAAGCAACGTGACACATGCTGTACAGTGAGGGTACAAAGTATTTGATCCCCTGCCGATTTAGTACGTTTGCCCACTGACAAAGAAATGATCAGTCTATAATTTTAATGGAAGGTTTATTTGAACAGTGAGAGACAGAATAACAACAACAAAAATCCAGAAAAACGTATGTCAAAAATGTTATGAATTTATTTGCATTTTAATGAGGGAAATAAGTATTTGACCCCCTCTCAATCAGAAAGATTTTTGGCTCCCAGGTGTCTTTTATACAGGTAACGAGCTGAGATTAGGAGCACACTCTTAAAGGGAGTGCTCCTAATCTCAGCTTATTACCTGTATAAAAGACACCTGTCCACAGAAGCAATCAATCAATCAGATTCCAAACTCTCCACGATGGCCAAGACCAAAGAGCTCTCCAAGGATGTCAGGGACAAGATTGTAGACCTACACAAGGCTGGAATGGGCTACAAGACCATTGCCAAGCAGCTTGGTGAGAAGGTGATAACAGTTGGTGCGATTATTCGCAAATGGAAGAAACACAAAAGAATTGTCAATCTCCCTCGGCCAGGTGCTCCATGCAAGATCTCGCTTCGTGGAGTTGCAATGATCATGAGAACGGTGAGGAATAAGCCCAGAACTACACGGGAGGATCTTGTCAATGATCTCAAGGCAGCTGGGACCATAGTCACCAAGAAAACAATTGGTAACACACTACGCTGTGAAGGACTGAAATCCGGCAGTGCCCGCAAGGTCCCCCTGCTCAAGAAAGCACATATACATGCCCGTCTGAAGTTTGCCAATGAACATCTGAATGATTCAGAGGACAACTGGGTGAAAGTGCTGTGGTCAGGTAAGACCAAAATGGAGCTGTTTGGCATCAACTCAACTCGCCGTGTTTGGAGGAGGAGGAATGCTGCCTATGATCCCAAGAACACCATCCCCACCGTCAAACATGGAGGTGGAAACATTATGCTTTGTGGGTGTTTTTCTGCTAAGGGGACATGACAACTTCACCGCATCAAAGGGACGATGGACGGGGCCAAGTACCGTCAAATCTTGGGTGAGAACCTCCTTTCCTCAGCCAAGGCATTGAAAATGGGTCATGGATGGGTATTCCAGCATGACAATGACCCAAAACACACGGCCAAGGCAACAAAAGAGTGACTCAAGAAGAAGCACATTAAGGTCCTGGTGTGGCCTAGCCAGTATTCCAGACCTTAATCCCATAGAAAATCTGTGGAGGGAGCTGAAGGTTCGAGTTGCCAAATGTCAGCCTCGAAACCTTAGTGACTTGGAGAAGATATGCAAAGAAGAGTGGGACAAATTCCCTCCTGAGATGTGTGCAAACCTGGTGGCCAACTACAAGAAACGTCTGACCTCTGTGATTCCCAACAAGGGTTTTGCCACCAAGTACTAAGTCATGTTTTGCAGAGGGGTCAAATACTTATTTCCCTCATTAAAATGCAAATCAATTTATAACAATTTTGACATGCGTTTTTCCGGATTTTGTTGTTGTTATTCTGTCTCTCACTGTTCAAATAAACCTACCATTAAAATTATAGACTGATCATTTCTTTGTCAGTGGGCAAAAGTACAAAATCAGCAGGGGATCAAATACTTTTTTCCCTCACTGTACATATATACGTAATTTTGTCGAGGGTAATTTTATAATTTGGGATTTCTTGGGTTCAGACTATATGATTCGCAGCCAAATTTGTACTTGTGTAGATAATACAGCACGGTGTTTATACCTATTTTTTCAGTGTACTTGGTGTTTTATGAATACTACTATTTATTATGATATTTATTTTATCAATTAAGGCCCACTAAGCGATACAGCTCTTTTTCAGTAGCAACCTGGCCACAAATGATAGCACAACGAAGTGGCTTATCGCAAGGAATTTTATAGCAGCTAAATGCTCTAAACACATGTTTCTAAATATGGAGGGAAAACCCAGAGGATCTGGTTTACTGGGCTCCTGGAGGAATATCCACGCAATGCAAACTCGTTCAATCTGAAAACTTGCTCCATTCTATATAAATAGCAACACATGGCGTGACCTAAAGTTGTTTATGATGCTCTGACCAACGTTTTAAATTATTATTGTAACGTATGTCATAGTTGAATGTTAAGGTCCTTCAACCATTCCAAGACAGCAGTAGACGCTGTGTGGAATGCAGCGATACTGCCAAGGTATGTGCGTAGATGGCGCACTCTATACTCTTTGGTTCTATTCGGTAAAGTCACGTAGATAAAAAATAAAACAACAAAAATCACGACGTTTCGGCCACAACACAAGTGCCCTGCATCAGGTGAAGGGACCGTGCTGTAGGAATTAAGAAAGTCAAGCCAGGTCGCGTCCTTTAAGCTGTGTGGGAGGAAACCAAACGCTTTGACAAAGGAATTAGCATAAAGTACTGATAGAGCACCTAACACGGGGGGAGGGGCATTTACAAACGTTGTTTTGAAGAGAAATAAGCTGCTGTGAATGTTTGGTATATCACTACTTGGATAAATATACTGTACCATTGAAAATTAGTTTAATGTTTGGTATGATTTAGAACATCTTTCCAATGATTGCCTAATTTGAAACCATCTTCTCGGTTGAAATTGTGTCTGTATTTGTAAATCTGAATTGCCTCGTGGACAAATCTCTGATGATAACCTATAGGTTTGCAAAGGACCTTGGTATCGGAGAACACTATATCGTGATCACCCACAGCGTTGTAACAGTGGTTAGCCACGGCACAAAGAATCCATTCTGCCGTGTTTCAAATCTGATTTGTCCTCGCGAATTCGGTCAGAGACATGTCGCTTCGTCTCCCCGATATAGCAATCACCACAAGTGCAGCTCAATTTGTAAACCCCGGGGTACTGTAAGTTAGGAATGACATCCTTCACGAATGGGATCAGGTCACGGATTTTGTGTACTGTAATGAACCGGACCAGGATCTTGTGTTTGTTTAGAATTTTGGAGATCTTTTTAGTAATGCCTGCTATATATGGTAGTGTGATGGTTTTGACCGGAGTATCAAGTGGTTGTTTCTGTATGGAGGGAGAAACAGCTTGGCGGATGGTACGGTCAGACTATCCGTTTCTCTTGAGGGCCAGGTGTACATGTTTTAATTCACTGGTCAGGTGGTGTTGGTCCGAAATGCAATGAGCCCTGTGGTATAACGTTTTGATGAGATAATTATTTTGAGTTGGGTGGTGGTGGGAATCAGGCTTCAAGTAGGCATCTGTGTGGGTGGGTTTCCTGTAGACAGAATGCCCCAATGAGCCATCAGGTCTCCTCTCAAACAGAACATCCAAGAATGGTAGCTTGCCATCTTTCTCCACTTCCATGGTGAATTTGATGGTGGGATGTCTGGAACTGATGTGGTGTAAGAAAAGGTTCAAAGCTGGGAGGCCATGTGGCCAAATGACGAAGGTGTCATCCACATATCTCTTCCACAGGGAAGTTCTGAGGGTGGAAGTCTGGATGGCGTCTGATTCAAATTTCTCCATGAAAACATTGTCTATCACTGGTGATAAGGGTACAGTATATTTATCCAAGTAGTGATATACCAAACTTTCACAGCAGCTTATTTCCCTTCAAAACAACGTTTGTAAACTCCCCTCCCCCCTGTGTTAGGTGCTCTATCAGCACTTTATGCGAATTCCTTTGTCAAAGCGTTTAGTTTCCTCCCACACAGCTTAAAGGACGTGACCTGGCTTGACTTTCTTAATTCCTACGCTGTCTTCGTGACAGCACGGTCACTTCACCTGATGAAGGCCACTTGTCTTGTGGCCGAAACATCGTGATTTTTGTTGTTTTATTTTTTACCTACGTGACTTTACCGAATAGAACCAAAGAGTATGGATCCTTGCAGTCACGAAAGCTTCAAATCTAGATGGCGCACTCGTCGGTGATGCGTACGATTGTTTGGGCATCACGACAGTCATACATTGGTGAATCTTTGATTTCCATTAATGGAACACAGTGTACGCATATCTCCCATTCTGCATTCGAGCACGGTTCAGTGTGGCTGACAACCATCGTGAGAGAGAGAATCCCAACACTTCCACGGTGGGGTCGTCAATAATATATACAATGCACAATGCCAAATACACTCAGCGAAATGTCACCCATGGTCTTTCTTTCTGTTTTAAATAATGAGCGCCATTTCCCAATTTGTTCACTCATCTGTTATATGGCAGCGTTAATGAAGACAGTTGCAAGGAATCTTAAATCTGGTCACGAGAACGACAACTCAAACTTTGCCGTCCAATGAGTGCTGTCTCAGTGCAAAACTCACTAAATATTCATGACACTCCATTGCGAGCCAAGAATGGCAATGGCAAGAGGTGAGATATAACATTAATCATGAATAATTATGGTACCCAATTAACAACCACCTGATGAAATGTGATTAAGGCCCGGTGTGTGTTGCTGCCAGCTTAAATCTTGGATGCCCTCCTCCCGAGAGACCCATCCAGCTGGTGTACTTACTCTCTTCAAATCTTAACTAATCGGGGGGTTGCTTCCTATGGCTATCCGTTTTGCAAGCATTTAACAAAAACCTACGCCACAGGACACAATATGGAAAACCTTGACTTAAAGCTTTCATGACTGCAGGAATTCATATTCTTTCAATCTTTCGGTAAAGTCACTACGACATTTCGATCGCAACACAAGCGGTCGTCAATCAGGCGGAGAGACGATCGCTTGTGTGATGACGACCGCTTGTGTTGCGATCAAAACGTCGTAGTTTTTTGTTTATTTTATTTTTATTCATTTGAACCTATCTACGTGACTTTACGGAAAGACCCAAAGAATATGACAAACAGTAAACAAATAACCGTGGGCCAAACGGGCTTACTCACCATGTTAATAGCTGACACTGGGCCGATGCTGTTGACGTAGATGTCCGTTTCCACCGTAATCGGCTGGACTGTCGCAGACGCACACCGGGAGATATAGTCAATACTCGAGAAACAGGATTCACCTGACAGTTGAATGTATTTGCAGTACGCCGGTAGTGGTGCACGGTATAACAAAAAGAAAAAAAAATAACAATAATTATTTAATTTCCCGCGATTCGCAACTCCGGTCAGAAAATCTTGTGGGGTGGTGGTGGTGCGTCAAAATCTGTTCTCGTGATGTGGAAGCAGTTGGAAGACGAATGTTATGAGCAGCTGAACACGAAGCTTCAGTGTTGCCATATAGCAGCGCCCAGCCTGATGATGTCCCCTGTTCCAAAGGCAGATTTGACTCCTCGTGCCCGAGACTTGGTTGGGCGGTCCCTCGATTCAGATTTATTTAGTCTTAATAAGACTGAATAATTCATAATAAAGGTTTTTGGGTTAGATCGCGTTATTTATAAATGTGTCGTAACCCTCCACCACCCGACACGGCCAATCAACAAAAAAAGTGTCACGTTGACAAAAGACAAATAATTCACTACTTTAGCCCACCGGTGTGTTTAAGAGTGAATCCACAACATTTACAGTTTGAGTACGCCGTTTCGCTGGTAAATACATCCAGCATCATCGGGCAATTCGCAAGAATGGTAAAGCCCTCGCTTGCTCCCGGTTTTATATGGAGCAGCAGGGTGACGTCATCATTTAACTCATATCAGGTGCAGTGATTAGAGGCGGATGGGGGGGAGGTATTGTAATTATATAATCGATTAGTAATCAGTCAATGGTTATGATTAGTAATGAGTTGTAGATTAGTAATTAGTTGTAATGTGTGTTAGTGATTATATGCTATGTTAGTAATCCGTTAATTAGTATGTGTTTCCCCTATAAGGAATTGTAATGTGCATTCATATTCCTAGCTCCCTCTGAATAAACCTTCAAATTGCATAAAACATGGCGACTGGATCAATTAAATATCGATAAACAGATACATTTTGTCATTTCAAATTTAGATTTTGGACAGTTTTATGAGGACCAGTGTATTATGCTGCACCGGTGTACCACCAATAGTCCATTTACGAACGCAGGCACTGGTGAACACCACGATGTTTATATTGCATGCCCCATGAATTCATGTTGTACAGTACAACGAGAAAGTAAAACGTAAAACAGAATGTGGTTTGCACGATAATCCTATGGCATTTTGGCAATCTCTGCTCTAGAGACGGGCCAATACCTAAAACGTTAGCTTCTTACAGTATATATTTTCGCATTTCATAGTCATTGTTTATAAATTTAGATATTAAGGATTTATTTCAGCTTGTTTGAGGATATGCGTTTCTTGAAATATATGTACGTGCATATACGTACACTGAATATATTTAAAGGGTGCCTCAATACATCTGAACGTGCATTAATGTACTTACAAAGAAATAATGTGACCAATACTCCAAGAGCTTCCATATCTGCGTAGAATTTGACTATTATCCCCTTAATGCTTAAAGTAGAAATACCAAACATTTACCAAACATCTCAATCATGGTCGCAAAGGAAAACATGTTGAGACCCGCTGATGCTTCACATTGACACCCACACACACGTAGTGTTCGACACTGCAACGCACCGACATTTGTTTCGCAGCTTCATATAGCTCTTACTGACATGATTGCTATGGATGTTAACATCAGCCCTGTCTTGTTACAATTTCCCAGTGAAAGCAAAGGACTCTGGCATGCATCGTCCGTGGAAGCGTCCACTCCTGATTGAGCCATCAAGCGTGGTTTGTTCACTCGACACTTGTGGCGGCTTTGCCATGCGCGGATCATCGACCATATACAATTGAAACCTTCCCAGTGGGTGTCACCGAGGAGGATGCTCTTCGGCGTTTTCCTCGGGAGTTAGGTAAAGTGTGAAGAATTAAAAAAAATTGAGGCAATATTCACATGGCGATTTATCGCTTAACACTTTTCTGGCGTGAAATTATCATCACAATCTTCGGCGGCGCATGCAATGGACGGACGCAGCGCCATTCCGCAACAAGTCGCCACAGACAATCGGCATCGGGGGGTGGGGGGAGGGCCGGGGAGAACGGGGACCTCGCGCTGTGACGTCGGCCACATGCACGCGTGACACACCAAGCCGACCAATCGGGTGCCGCCGCTCCACTTCACGCAATGAACTCATTCGCAATGAATTCACTGGCAATGAACTTAATCACTCACAATGAACTCACTCACTAGCAATGAACTTACTAGCGATGAACTCACTCGCAATGAACTCACTCACTCGCAATTAACTTACTCGCAATGAACTCACTTACTCGCAGTGAACTCACTCGCAATGAACTCACTCGCAATGAACTCTCAAGGGTGCGAGTTAGTGCTGCGTGAAGGCAAAGGCAGTGTTAATTAAATACGATGACTATGCTATTTAAAAAAAACATGATTGCGGTTTTATAATGACGGTGGCGATTAGTTTAATTTAAGATAATTGATGATGCTGCTGCAGCTGATTAATGGATTGCCAACACTCAATCCAACGAACCACGCCAGGGAAACACCCGCCAACCAACCCTTTACCCACGATGGTCCACCAACTCTTGCCTCTGAATTCCTTGCAATAAGCCACCAACGATGTGCAATGCGCCGCGCGACGTAACGGGGGCACCCATTTGAAATGCAGAGACGTCTGTGGAATCGTTGTTGTCATCCTTACTTAAGCGGGAGATGAAATAAACCCACTGAGACGCATGAAACGGTGTCTCTTGCAAGAGCGACCTGGGTGGCATTCACAATTGAGGCGATATGCTCTCACACACACGGGCCAGCGTGCCCTCTCAGCAAACCCGCTCAAAGCCACGCCGCACCGTGTGATTGATGCAATTCTGCACGATCATAATTTAGTGACGAGGATTTGTTTTTGATCGAGGCTGCCCCCCTTCACGCCGAGGCATCTCACATCGCTTCTACATCGCATTTCATCTCAACACACTGGAAGAGGATCCCCGCAACCCCAGTGGCAGCTGTCCCTGTGCGGCACAAGATGACTCAGCACCTGGCCTGCGAGCTAAGCATTTGTCTGTCGGTAGGGGGCGGTGATTGCTGCTACTCAGTGTAATCCCAACTGAGTCATTTGAAAGTGATTTTTGTTTTTAAATGTGGATTTTTTAGCACGAGGTGCAAAATTGTCTACTCAAATCAAATAACACTAAAAGTTTTTTTTTATTTTATTTCTGGGATTCTTTAAAATCCACATGAAGCAGATGGAACATATATTTATGGTTAATACAACCGGAGTAATAACCTGGGCGCAATGATAGCGAGATGATAACTACCTCGCCTGGTATGCATGACGTCCGTGGGTTCGATCTCAACCCTGACACCTGCTGTATATTTGGAGTTTGCTTGTCTCTCTCCCCGAAGTTGCGAGGATCTTTATCCGGGTCCTCCGGTTTTGTCCCCTCCACATTTAGAACCAACATGCGTTTAGAGTAATTGTCTGCGAGAAATTCCCACGTGATAAGCCACTTCATTGAGCTATCATTTGTTGCCAGGTTACTTGTGAAAATTAACTATATACAGCGAGGGAAAAAAGTCTTTGATCCCCTGCTGATTTTGTACGTTTGCCCACTGACAAAGAAATTATCAGTCTATAATTTTAATGATAGGTTTTTTTGAACAGTGAGAGACAGAATAACAACAACAAAATCCAGAAAAACGCATGTCAAAAATGTTATAAATTGATTTGCATTTTAATGAGGATAATAAGTATTTGACCCCCTCTCAATCATAAAGATTTCTGGCTCCCAGGTGTCCTTTATACAGGTAACGAGCTGAGATTAGGAGCACACTCTTAAACAGAGTGCTCCTAATCTCAACTTGTTACCTGTATAAAAGACACCTGTTCACAGAAGCAATCAATCAGATTCCAAACTCTCCACCATGGCCAAGACCAAAGAGCTCTCCAAGGATGTCAGGGACAAGATTGTAGACCTACACAAGGCTGAAATGGGCTCCAAGACCATTACCAAGCAGCTTGGTGAGGTGACAAAAGTTAGTGCGATTATTCGCAAATGGAAGAAACACAAAATAACTGTCAATCTCCCTCGGCCTGGGGCTCCATGCAAGATCTCACCTCGTGGAGTTGCAATGATCATGAGAACGGTGAGGAATCAGCCCAGAGCTACACGGGAGGATCTTGTAAATGATTTTAAGACAGCTGGGACCATAGTCACCAAGAAAACAATTGGTAACACACTACGTCGTGAAGGACTGAAATCCTGCAGCGCCCACAAGGTCCCCCTGCTCAAGAAAGCACATATACATGCCCGTCTGAAGTTTGCCAATGAACATCTGAATGATTCAGAGGACAACTGGGTGAAAGTGTTGTGGTCAGATGAGACCAAAATGGAGCTCTTTGGTATCAACTCAACTCGCCGTGTTTGGAGGAGGAGGAATGCTGCCTATGACCACAAGAACACCATCCCCACCGTCAAACATGGAAGTGGAAACATTATGCTTTGTGGGTGTTTTTCTGCTTAGGGGACATGACAACTTCACCGCATCAAAGGGACGATGGACGGGGCCATGTACCGTCAAATCTTGGGTGAGAACCTCCTTCCCTCAGCCAGGGCATTGAAAATGGGTCGTGGATGGGTATTCTAGCATGACAATGACCCAAAACACACGGCCAAGGCAACAAAGGAGTGGCTCAAGAAGAAGCACATTAAGGTCCTGGAGTGGCCTAGCAAGTCTCCAGACCTTAATCCCATAGAAAATCTGTGGAGGGAGCTGAAGGATCGAATTTCCAAACGTCAGCCTCGAATCCTTAATGACTTGGAGAAGATTTGCAAAGAGGAGTGGGACAAAATCCATCCTGAGATGTGTGCAAACCTGGTGGCCAACTACAAGAAACGTCTGACCTCTGTGATTGCCAACAAGGGTTTTGCCACCAAGTACTAAGTTATGTTTTGCAGAGGAGTCAAATGCTTATTTCCCTCATTAAAATGAAAATCAATTCATAACATTTTTGA